CGTCATAAGTGTGGCTTGTAGTTATGTTACATGACACGCATGTCGTGATTATCATGTTTAGATGTGTCATTTACCTATGTCGTTCGTTCGCGTCGGGTAGTACCGAGTTTGGTACGTGTGAAGCTAGCAAAACGGCCGCGAGCGCATCATGAGCGTAGCATGGAGTCATGTTGTTACATGACATGCGTCTAATATTTATCATGTTTGCACCAGCCACATACCTTCGTCGTCCATTCACATACCGTAATACTAAATTTGCTATGTGACGCAAGCGAAACGGCTGCAAGCGCATCATGAGCGTGGAACGTAGTCATGTTGTTACATGACACGCATGTCATGATTTTGATGTTAGGGTCAGTCACCTGTGTTCGCCATGCAACCATGCCATACCATACCAGTTTTGCAACATGTCGCGTGAACGAAACCACCGCAAGAGCTGCAGGACCATGAAATGTAAATCATGACATTCATCACATACATACCATTATTTGACTAGTCAAATGTGTTCTTCATACAGTCATGCTATGCCGTACCCAGTTTGGTATCGATACCAATATCTAAACGGCCAGGTGAGCTAAAAGCCGTAGGCGGCTAGATAGATAGACAGATAGATAGATAGATAGATAGATAGCTAGATAGATACGCTCAAAGTCACCTAAGTTTCCTAAGAAATGCTTCACTAATTAACAGAATGCTAAAGGTCATGTGTGAAGAATTTTCAGCGGGGCCTGGTTCCAATGATAGAGTTCGAGAACATTGGGTCGTGCGCATAAAAAACGCAAACGAACAGACACAAGGAAACGACAAAATGAAACTTCTTTGCATTCGTAACTCGGCAAGGGAATAACGCATGCAAGAACCAAGGCTAATGAAAATATAAATACTTACGAGCAGTGACCATTTCACCCACCACCACATGCTTTTTATACATGGTTGCAGTTCCTTTCCAGCCTTGTGCAAACTGCTTCATTCGCTCATTTCTTATCCGCCACCAGCACTTTGTAATTAACAGATCGTATCGGGAAGACGTAAGCGAAACAAAAGCAAGAGTCCGAAATAGTATTTGCCTATTTTAATTTCTGGGATAGCTTACAACAAAGCTGAAAGAGTGCTGAGCTTGCGTTCAATTCTGACATTCTAAAGAAAAGCAATATTGCCACAGAGACTGTTTACACTATCCGACATTATGAAGAATCAGCGTCCACAGTCTTGTGCGCACTCTTGCGTGTGGCCGCCCGACTCATGCCTCTTGTTCATGGGCACGAGTCAGTGTGCGTTGGAGCTGCGAAGAAGAAGGTGCTTTGGCGGATGAGCAGTTCAGGCAACCAAGCGTATACATTTGTGATCTTCAATAAAAAAATAATATTTATTACTCCCCAGGGCAAAGTGCAGTAAACACAGCTGAGTGGTAATCATGACACCTGAAATCTCAAAATTGCTCAACTTGACTTTTCTACGTTTTTTCCTCGTTTGCTCTTTTTTATGTTGTTTTACTTACATCAGTCCTATTATATTACAAATTCATTACACATAGTTAAAATGATCACACAAAAACTGCACTACACTTTCTTGACCAATCCCTCTTAGTGGGTATGAGCCATCATCGCAGGGAAACAAACAAACAAACAAAAAGGATGAACATTTTTTGATTTGGAACGCTCTTGCGGACTCTTCCATCTTTTCGCACATAATTTTCAGGGCACAAGTTCGCCCGTAATAAACAAGTCTTTGACGTTTCTTCTCTTGCACCCGTTACATTATGGTGGACGATTCTGGGTATGATTGGAAGCCCCCTTGGCGCGAGAGAGCGAAGCCCCAATTCTCAACGATTTGAACCTGGTCAACTGACTCCAGTAAACCAGCGTTCAAGCCGTCGCCTTCAAGTAGAGCCGCCTGAATTTGCACCCCTCCCCAGTGCTTCAGCAACACAAGCAGCGTCCACAGACAACAGAATGATGCCTTATCAAGTGACATCATCGGAACGTATTCTGTCCCCACCGTGCTTGCCTGAGCCCTTCCACGGCGACACGTTTGAGGATGTGGAGGATTGGTTAGAACACTTCGAGTGGGTTTGGAAGACCAACGGCTGGGATGAAGCAAGGAAACTGCGTGGCGTGTACTTCACATTGGAGGATGTAGCGAGGACGTGGTATGAAAACCACGAAGCATTCACACCGACATGGGAAGGATTTCGACGACAAATAGTAGCTACATATGCCAGCACCGATCGTCGGGAGAAGGCGGAGAACGCTCTGCAGTCCAGGAACCAGCGCATGAACGAAAGCGTTGGCATGTATATTGAGGACATGTCCCGCCTTTTCAACGCGCTGACCCGAACATGAACGAAGAGAAAAAGATGCGTCACTTGATGCGAGGTGTCAAACAGGAGATATTTGCCGGTTCGGTACGCAACCCACCTCGTACAGTTGCTGAATTCCGCACCGAAGCCACCTCCTTAGAGCGGGCATTGCAGCAGCGCTTCCGTCACTACAATCATGATGCGAGTAGTGTTCCTGCAGATGTCCTCTCAGCAAACCTGGGCAGCAGCAGCGAAGCATTGAGGGAAATGGTGCGATTCATTGTGAAGGAAGAGCTCCAGAAGCTGCTACCCAGACAAGTCGCAACGCCAGTTTCGTCTCTCACTACCCTGATCAGAGATGAAGTTCGCCACGCCATTCTTCAAGCCGAACCCGAGGCGCAACCTGTTTGACTTGAACAGAAATTGCAGGAACACCCCGTAACAACTTACGCCGATGCTGTGCGCCAGCCTGCCGTGCACACTGTTTCGTTTGCAGCTCCCAGTGGCTACCGACCGGCTTCGCGTGGCTCAAAGTATCCAGCTAATTCGAGGCCACGAAAAAGCGACGTGTGGCGCACACCCAACAGGATGCCTCTCTGTTTTCACTGCGGCGAAGCTGGACACCTGTACAGAATGTGCCCATATCGACGAGCTGGTCTCCCTGGGTTTTCTCCAAACGCGCCATGCCCTCGAAATGGCGAAAGACCTGTTGAAATCGAAGATTACTTGTCCGGCCATCTGTTTCCAATTGCTGGTTTCCAGCATCAGCCTATATCACCAGCGCCTGCTCGCTATCGATCACGAAGCCCTCGACGATTTAGTTCACCTTCTCCACCTTCAACCTCAACACACCGTCGTTCAAGCAGTCCCCATCAGGAAAACTGAAGCCAGTGACCTATGAAGGCAAGGCCGCTGATGTCCAACCAACTGAAGATCCTCCGTTAGGTCTTAGTGCAGCAACGACGAGCGGAACACTACAACTAGATTAGGTAAAGACAAAATTTCTTCAGTCTTACGCGTTACCGTAGACGGGTGTGAATGCAACGTTTTAGTTGACACGGGTGCTAATTATTCGGTTATCAGTTACGCTGCCGCAAAGCATTTAAAGAAAGTCCTGACGCCTTGGAGTGGACCCCAGATACTCACGGCTGGGGTCATCACATCACACCACTGGGAAGATGTACCGCAAGAATCCGAATACAAGGCGCTACTTACGTTGCTGACTTTGTAGTACTTCCGGAATGCTCTAGAGATTTATTACTCGGAATGAATTTTCTGCTAGCAAACGGAGATATAATCAACCTGCCGAATTATAGTGTCTCTTTTACGACCAAACTGGCCATAAACACAAATGAGGCAGAGTACACTGCATTACGTGTTATAGAATCTGATGTTACCGTGCCGCCACGATACAGCGTAATAGTCCATGTAAGAAATGAAGCATTTGTTGATTCTGAAGGTAAAGCGGATGCAAACATCGAACTACTGCTCAAGAAAGGCATTTTTGTAGCTCGAGGCATTATTCAATTACGTGGTGGATGTGCCGATGTATTGCTCACGAATTTTGGAAACGAAATTCAGCATGTTGCAAAGGACACTGCTATCGCCTTCCTGCACAATTTTCAAAGAGTGACGGGCTTATGTGGTCTGGTGTCAGGGCCACCTACTTCGGAACCTGCGCCTGATGTCGTGGCAAGAGTTGCAATCAGTCAAAATCTATCACCAGCCGAGAAGAAAATCATTCAAGACCTCCCATGAAACTTCATCAGATGTTTGTCTACCTCGTCAAAAGTATGGCGGACCCAGGTTGTTGAACACCGAATAATAACAGATGAAGCTACAACGCCAGTACACCAAAACACGTACAAAATATCACCAAATGAACGAGAGGTCATAAAGAGCCAAGTGAAAGAGATGCTGAATGACGATATCATACAGCCATCCAATAGTCCATGGGCGTCGCCTGTAGTCCCTGTGAGGAAAAAGGACAACACGCTGAGATTCTGCGTTAATTACAGAAAGCTGAACAGAGTGGCCAAGCGGGATGTCTACCCTTCGCCGCGTATTGATGATACGTTCGATCGGCTACGGCACGCAAAGTAGTTCTCTTCATTGGATTTAAAAAGCGCTTATTGGCAAATTGAAGTGGACGAAAGGGACCGTAAAAAGACTGCTTTCGTAACCCCGGATGGTGTATATGAGTTTAAAGCACTCCCATTTGGCCTGTGTTGTGCGCCTGCAACATTCTAGCGCATGATTAACAGCGTCCTTTCAGGCCTCAAATGGCAGTCGTGCTTAGCCTACCTGGACGACGTTGTGGTGTTTTCAGCAACGTTTGAACAGCATGTAGAGCGACTACGTTCGGTACTTCAGGCTATCCAGTCAGCCGGCTTGACGATATAACCAGAAAAATGCCAGTCTGGATTCGAGAAGCTTCGTTTCCTCGGTCATGTAATCAGCGCTCAAGGTGTTGGCCCGGACCCGGAGGAGACTGTGGCCGTAGGGCTGTTTCCCAAACCAAAAGACAAGAAGGAGGTACGTCGATTTTTGGGTTTATGTGCTTATTACAAGTGGTTTGTGAAAAATTTCGCGAAAATTGCCGAACGTTTAACAAGACTCACAAAAGAGGACGTGCCATTTATTTGGTGTACCGAACAAGACAGTGCATTCAACGAACTAAAGAAACGTTTGGAAGCCCCACCTATCCAGGCCCACTTCGACGAAACCACAGATACGGAAGTTCACACAGATGCCCGATATCTTGGTAAAGGTGCGGTCCTGGTGCAATGGCAAAATAGAGAAGAGAAAGTGATAGCATATGCTTGCTGCACCCTCTCAAAAGCGGAAAGAAACTACTCTGCGACCGAAAAAGAGTGCTTGGCAGTCATATGGGCGATCAGAAAGTTCAGGCTATACCTCTACGGCAGGCCGTTCCGTGCCGTCAGTGACCACCACTCACTTTGTTGGCTGGCAAGCTTAAAAGACCCATCGGGACCGCTTGCGAGATGAAGTCTCAGGATCCAAGAATACGACATTATGGTCGTATATAGGTCTGGCAGAAAGCATGATGATGCTGCCTGCTTATCACGTTCACCAGTCGATTTGACTCTTTCAGAAGAAGAGTACTTCCCACTCTTTTGTGTGATAAAAACCTCAGACAGAAATCGCCGAACATCAACGGGCTGACAAGGAACTGCTTTCAATAATAAAGTATCTCGAAGGACACGACGAACAAGTTCCTCGCGTATTTAAGAGGTGGTTATCCTCATTCTGCCTCCGAGACATTGCACATTACAAGAGGAATTTCGAACACAACAAGGAGATGTTCTTACTCGTTGTACCATCAGCCATGAGGCATGAAGTCTTAGAAGCCTGTCATGATGAGCCGTCTGCGGTTCACTTGGGCGCGAGTCAGACATCCGCCAAAATTCATCAGGAATACTACTGGCCCAAGTTTCTAGCGTCCGTGAAGCATTACGTCAAGACATGTCGCGAGTATCAAAGGCGCAAAACACCATCCTTCAAGACGGTCGTCCTTCTCCAGCCCATAGAGCCACCTGCGACTCCATTTCAACAGGTTGGAATGGACCTCCTCAGACCGTTTCCGATGTCGGCATCAGGAAAAAGGTGGATAATAGTTGCGACTGACTATTCGACACGATACGCTGAAACTGGCTGCCTTGAGCGAGAAACGCCAACGGAAGTCGCGAAGTTTTTCGTTCAGAATATTGTTCTTCGCCATGGAGCCCCAATCGTCGTGATTACCGATCGAGGAGCTGCGTTCACGGCTGATTCGATGCAGTCCTTAATGACAATGACTAACACCAGTCATAAAAAGACCACTGCATACCATCCCCAAACCAACGGGTTGACAGAACGCCTGAACCGCACCATCGCTGACATGCTGTCGATGTACGTTGACATTGAGCGTGAATTGTGGGACGAAATCTTGCCAAACGACACCTTCGCCTACAATACGGCCGTGCAGGAGACCATCCGCGTCACACCATTTCAGCTGGTCTACGGTCGCACTGTCACTACGACACTCGATGCAATGTTGCCAGTAGACAACGACAATTACGAGCCATCTGAACTTGACGACTTTCTGCAAAGGACTGAAGAAGCACGCCAGTTGGCACGACACTGAATACATCAACAGCAAAAGAAGGACGTAAGCCACTACAACTTGCACCGCAGAAAAGTTCAGTACAACCCATGCGAGCGAGTGTGGATATGGACACCAATCTGACGCCGCGGCCAATCAGAAAAGCTTCTTTGTCGATACTTTGGACCCTATAAGGTTGTCCGACAAATTAGTGACCTAAACTACGAAGTCATCGCTGATGAACACATCCGTTCAAAGCGGCAAAACAGCGCAGAAGTCGTACACGTCGTTCATATGAAGCCCTATTATGAGAGGGAATGAAAGCGCTCCCTTTTGCTGTTTGCCTCCCTCCATCGCGCATCGGGACGATGCGTATTTCAAAGTGGGACTAATGCCACAGAGACTGTTTACACTATCCGACATTATGAAGAATCAGCGTCCACAGTCTTGTGCACACTCCTGCTTATGGCCGCGCGACTCATGCCTCTTGTTTACGGGCACGAGTCAGTGTGGGTTGGAGCTGGGTTGGTCAGTGTGGGTTGGCAGATGAACAGTTTTTGTTTTGGAACGCTCTAGCGAACTCTTCCATCTTTTCGCACATAATATTCAGGGCACAAGTTCGCCCATAATAAAATCGTTTGTGACGTTTCTTTTCTTGCACCCGTTGCAATATGTTACGGTCGCCAGTGGCATTAGCGTAGGTTGCGGGCAACTACAGCACTAAAGTCGGCTTTTATTGTGATCTGATAAAAGCTTTCGCTGAAGCATATATAGGGGCCCAAACATGATCAATGCTTCCAGAACCACGGCCGAGAGCACTGCCGAGAGCATTGGCTGCTCACCGATGGCACAATGGTAGCGTCAGTGGGGTTTCGATCCTCGTATATGTTATAGCAACTCATGATTACGGATTTAGACAAGGAAAGCATAAAAGTAGGTGTTAAAACTAATCTGCAGAAAACGAAAGTAATGTACAACAACCGCAGAAGTGGACAGCGCTTCGAGATAGGTAATAGTGCACTTGAAGTAGTGTGAGACTCTGTCTACTTACGACAGGTAATAACCGCGGAGCCGAACCACGAGACTGAAGTAACTAGAAGAATAAGAACGGGGTGGAGCACATTTGGCAAGCACTCTCCAATCATGACAGGTAGATTGGCACTATCCCTCAAGAGGAAGGTATATAACAGCTGCATCTTGCCGGTACTTAGCTACGGAGAAGAAACCTGGAAACTTACAAAGTGGGTTCAGCTTAAATTGAGGACGACGCAGCGAGCACTGGAAAGATAAATGGTAGGTGTAACCTTGAAAGACAAGAAGAGAGTAGAGTGGATTAAGGAACAAACCTGGGTTAGGGATATCATAGTTGAAATCAAGAAGAGAAAATGGACATGGGTTGTAGCACGTAGACAGGATAACCACTGGTCATTAAGTATAGCTAACTGAATTCCTAGAGAAGGCACGTGGGTTAGGGTTATGTGGGCAGATGATGATGGTGATCTGTTATAGCGAAAGCTGTTGTGAGATCACAACGGGAGCCCACTACGACACTGTGGCTGCCCACCACCGGCACTACTGCTGCTAGTGCCTGTACCTGCTTCAGTGCAAAATAAGAAAATTCGCGGCGTATCCATGGAGTGAACGATGATGACTGGAGCGAAGCGCTCGTCTGTTTGTCTGTCTGTCGTTTCTTGTTTGTTGGTCTGTTTCTCTGTCTGGCGACGAGCACGAGCCGCCATGGCTCTCCGCGCCAGCCACTCCGCTTCGTTCATGCCCCATCATCGATCCGACACGTACGGCGACAATCGAGGAAACTGAGAGACACTCTTTCCCAGCCCGCGCAACAGCCAATTAAGAGTAATGGTACAGCGCCATCTATAATGTCTTCACTCAACTGCAGTTTGTACTTACTTCTATGAGACAGTGCCATCTTTTGTATATATTCGGGCGATACTGCTGGTTACGCCAGACACGGGACAAGGTTAGGCTATAAAGCACTTCGTTTCTAAAAAATTACGGCGTATGCACAAAGTGAATTATGATGATCTTTTCTGCGGAGTTTAAATTTCGTAAGCCGTGAATTCTCCGAAAACACCCACTCGGCCATCACCCACTCGGCCATCTCCCCCCTGCCTCCGCGAAAATTCCTCCGCGATAATCGGCGGATTCAACCGGAAGTCGCAAGCGCCTTGTGCATTGAAACAGTGACAACTAAGGGTGCACCAACGGACGCCATTAGCATCGGTTGCATGCCGTGTGCGGAGCTCGAGTTTCGCTAGCGTAGCGTCACTTGTCCAGCGTGCCCTTTAATGCAAGAAGAGGGAAGCACGCATCGCTTTTCATTCTTGCCCTACGATTTGCTTCCGAGGAAGCGAGGCTGCTTCGGTGGGATGGATGGACTGCGAGGAACGAACGAGACTTCGTGGAACGGACGGAATTTCAGTTCGAGCCCTCTGCGTGCCTGTCGAGAATCCTACGAGAAAATCACGCTGGTGCCTGAAACTTTTTCGCTAAAACACCCTCTACAACCGAACCGAAATGTCGAGCAATGAATCTTCACGTGAGATATTGCGTAGTAATTGATTAAAATAACAATGCAGTGAGAACTGTGCAACGTACGAGTAGGTATTTGATAGCTTCAGCATTGCACATTACAAATCAACTGCTCATATTGCCTACATCATCAAAGTTGCGATAATATATGGTGGGCTGTAGTAGCCCTAAGAGAGTCTACAACTGAAATGGAGCCTCTTCCAGCTTTCACTGTCACTTTGCTGCGTGTTCCACGTAGCTCTAGAATTTTCTTTCTTGGTTGATTTTTTTCTAGTTTTGCTCGATAGTGGTTGCGGACAGCGGCGTTGGCGACGGCGGACAACCACCCCATCACCCTGCCGTTGTTATCTGATAACAGCTTTCACTGTAAATAGGAAAAAAAACTGAAGGTCAAGAAGAAGATTGCTAACCCTCACATTAAGCTTCAGACTTGATACTGCTAGGGCAGCGCTGCCTTTTTTAACACAAAATTGTTTTATGCCGGGGTCCACCACGGCTCCAATGACGTATTTCCGTCACGCATATGACATTGTAAAATGTATAAGAACAGATTGAAAACAACAAAGTTGTTTGGCGGGGTGTGGAACCAACTGTTTGTGTCAAACCTGAAGCTCCGCAACGCGCAACTACTAAAGTGCGGAACTTACTTTGGCAACCTTGCTAACGGCAAGCAAATGCACCAGATAGCGTCGGCTGGTCCTCGGAGCTAAGGTCCCTAGATGAAACAAGGTAGCGTCACTCATTGTTCTCGAGCCGTCCTCCTCACTCTCTCGATTACTCCTCTTTTTCTCTGCCATCCGCGCCTGTAATTAGTGAATTACTTGCACGTGATCTTGCAAATGGCTTGTGGTGTTATTTATTATTATGCAAAAGGTTCAAAACGAGTACGCATGCGCATATGGCTCCAGCCGGATTCTCGCCGTGACCAAAGACAAAATCGTAGCCAGAACATAAACTGAAGATTAAGAGCGTTTCTATGTGCGCTAAATCGACCAAGATTGTTTCGTCATGCTCGTTCAATGCAACATCTGCGTTTTCAGCAATGCTGCGTTGCCGTAAACAACAGAAAATGGTTTCGTTCTCTTCAACCTACCTCGTGCTTTCCGAGATGAAACGCACCATGAAGTGCAACTATGAACCATTTTACGCGAATGCTTTCGTGCAACTCCGTCAACGTATGTCGACGCGGATCTGCGAAGCGAGTTCACTTGTCGGTTTTTATTGAAGCGCCAGGCGCGCGTCCAATGCGTGTCTAGTGCATGCCAGTTGGTACAAATACATGTGGGTATGCACGTATACAGAGTAGCTGTAGGTTGTAATCAACGCACCTT